TGGAAACGAAAGTGTTACAGACAGACAGAAAGATGGACGGAGGGACAGACCCAAATTAATATTCCCCACTTTTCAAGCGGGGCACAAAAAGGTGTATTATAATCTAACACTAGTAACAGCTACATAAAGTCGATCAGCATACAGTACTGTATTTACTACAAAATACCATCATAAGATAACAGATTAACATTTAGTACACAGTTTAAAAGAAAGGAGACTTACCTTGTGAGAAAGAGAAGAATCCTATAAATATAAATCCTATGAACACAAGGCTACAATGAGATAATCTATTTAACATCTTCCTAGAAATGAAACAATTATTCTTTCAGATCGATGAGTGTTAACACATTGGACAAAAGACGTAAAATATAACATCAATCCCTTTCTTAATTAATCTAGTTATACAAGAAAAAAGTCCCGATTACATTGTAGTGATAGCACTTTCAGCCACTGACTGAAGCTTCAGAAGGAGACAGTGATGGTTCTTAAGGCCACAGGGGAGAAGTGACCGAGTTTTTCTTATGCGTATTACCTCAAAACAAACTTTTCTTAAAAGTTTTATTCCATACATTCAAGAAACTGAATGAGAAAAAAATCCCATAATTGGTTAAAGCTGCCCCAGGAATGAAATACATGTACCTTTAAATACAAAGATGACCTTGTTTATAATACACAGACAAGGACTTAGTGTGGAACCCTGTAGGAGCCCAGACATCACTTTAAAGTGAAGAACCACTTCAACTGCTTATTAAAGTTTGTTAGCTGTAGTTTCCTTTTAAGGTCACAGCATGCACTTAGTCAATTATAATCTCCTTAGAACTGTGTACTGGGTAACAGAGAGAGTGTAATAACACTACACACTGTTACCGCTAAAAATTGTCTGAAGTGTGGTCAATGTTATAAAACCAAATTCCTTAAGTTATATTACCACCTGTAAATAAATACATCCAAAACAATTCCTCTAAATTAAGGATAAGGGAAAGAAAACAGGTTAGGTGTAAGTGGAATGATTTGTACCTGACAGTGTATTTTGCGAAATGCTTTATATTCCATACAAGTCAAGTACAATGTACATGATTGTATAATTTTTTATATAGAGCCAGTTATAACCTTGATCTCACAATATAAAAGGAAATTAAAATGAGCATTCATACAATTAAAAACAAAATTGAGGTACATGTAATAATTAATGATGAAACACGGGCAATCCTTTTTTACTGTAAAATGCTTTCATTTAATATCAGAGTAAATATGTACATGTACTTGATGGGCATTTAAGGGTAGAGAAATTGGTTCTAGGAATGATCCAATTAATTAAATAAAATTAATTAATTAAAGAGTTATTGTTCCTAACTGAGGAATAGATAGCCTTAAAGTATGCTATTCACAGTCTGAAGCTTTGGTCATTATCATTTGGTGTTTCATAAATAATAAGTTTAACATTGCATCAAAACAAACATTTCTGAGTGTAATATTGGGATTTATTAACAATAATTAATTCTAGAGTCACCTGTAAACAAGTCCCTCGGAAGCAAGACAATTTAATGTACATAAATAACATTAATAAATAGTCAAAGTACATTATACAATAAAAAACTGCACAAAAGGTGAACAGTAATATTGAGATTGAATAATCTAAATTTATTTAACTAGATTAAAGGGCCTTAAATTTATTGACCCTAAAACAACAATACATTTATTAAATTAAAAAAGAATTGATGAATTGCACATGCGTTGATCTTTAAATTTTCATCACAGTGCCCTTTGTTACATGTAAGTCCTAATAATTTCATGCAAGTCCAAACATTTCCCTGTTTCTTTTGTCTTAAACTTTTTAAATAAAAAGTGTTGAAGTCACTAAACAGCTAATATTACAACACTCCTGAACAGACAGTTTACTTATGCTTATAATGATTGGAAATCCAAAAAGATGATCTGGAATTCTTTTGGTTTGACATGACATCTTTCATCTGTGTATTCAACACCTCAATTTTTCAATTTTATCCTTGTAATAATATTATTACATATTTTGAATTTCTCTTTTATCTTTGACAATAGAGAATCTGACACTATGTAACACACAGAGGTAACCTTCCCTCAGCTCTATATACCCGTAGGAGCCTCAGTCTATTTCTGTCACACAATGATTAAAGTTGACGTCCATCCACATACTCATGTCCATAAGTCTCCTGTCAGACATCCACCCTTCTCCTCTTCTGTACACTGCTGACTTCATCTGGAAACAAAAAGCAAGATCAGGACTTACGTCAGTCAGAAGCTCATTAAGGTCAAATGATATGTTCCTCAGATATCTGTTTTGAACAGCAAAACTCGGTTATAACGAAGTCATTGGACATATGAAATTGTTTCGCTATATACGTAAATCGTTATAATCGTATAAGAAAATTATTAAATTTATATGGCTGGGGATCCAAGATGACTTCGCTAAATTCCGTAAATTTGCAATATCCCTGTTCGTAATACACAAGTTTTGCTGTATATGTTTGTAATATATAAAAAATATATTTAAAATTATAATTACTCTGCAATTTCTTACGTGGTGTTTTAGCTGTCTTTAAAAATTTACAATTCTAAATTTTTGATTTTGGCCATTTAAGTTATTTCCAAAAGGATTTTATAGGCAACACTGTCCCCATGGTCGCAAACCACGGCCAAAATGTACGCTCCTCTCCCATTCTGGCCGTGGTTCAATGAGGAGAGAATTCTTCGTAACTCGTTAAAATATTGACCAATGCGAGTAAAGTATAGTCGAAGGATGAACTTTATCGCGACCTTTCAATATCCAATCGCAGTAAAGGAAATATTTATTGTATACTGGTGACGTCAGATGTTGATTTGGATTGCGATGGAAACAAAACTTGCCACTGACTGAATATGATGTCACAATAGAGAGGCGTGAATATTCAAGCAGCCACGGGTAGGAGAGAGCTATATAAGCGGACTCCGGACCGTGGCTTGAGACGATGCACCGTCCCTGGTATCTGACATAAATGGTAAGGTGCCTCAAATTTTTTTGAGTTAACTTGTAAAAGTAGCATTACTTCAATGAAAAAACCTTTTAAAAAATTATATATTATTTAGAAACGTATTGCCTGTCTTTAAAACTTGTGTTGAGTTTTTAACTGCCATATCAATCTAATAAAAATCAGACTTCTTAGATCTGCGCCGTATTCACTCTGCGTAAGAAGATCTGGCATAAAATGACTAGTGAAAAATTGTGGCCTCACACTACTGTAAACCAAGATATTCATCTCTGACCTTTTATTTTAATCCCTACTTGAATATATAAAGGACATTCCATATCTTTTACTTGGCTATAGAATTTAATTTACATTCAAATGAAACAATTTTTTTAATTTTCATGATTGTGAATCATTTTGTCCCTTTTTTTTTATACATGTACATGTAACAAAGAGTAAAATTCCTACAGAGTATATTTATTATGTCACATAGTCAAAAAAAACCCTTTTTAAGATTTTTATACCACTTTTAGAGGATTTAACATGTTAATTAAAGTGCTTTTCCATTACTTTCTGCTGTTTCAGCATTTTAAAACAAATTTTCAGGAATGGGTAAAAATCTAAGGACTTTTTATGGTCAGTTCAAACCCTGATATTGTGAATACTTTAGAAGTGGAAAGAACTATATTCGGTATATTGCATATCTTTGCCCCCACAAAAATTAAATTTTGAAAAATTCTTAAAACGTGTTGTATTGTATGTGTTGTATAAATTGTATGAAAAATATAAATTAACAAAACATATTATAGTTTCAAAGTAGGTTATTGACAATTTTTTATTTTATGACGTCACAAACTCGTCGGATTTTGCATTATTTTTCAGAAAAAGGACAAAATGGACAAAATTTCAACAATTTTATTTATAGAATTTATAGAGCGCATGTCTGTTCAGGCACAATTTTTGCATATTTAATTGATATTATCATTCTACACATTAGGCCATCCTTAAAAAATTTTTTTGTTGCGGTAACGCGACCAACTCACCAAAATCCACCCTACTGGATTTTTTTTATCGGTTCAGAAATCTTTTTTTTTTTTTTTTTTACATATCCATTTTCTGTTTTTATCCGATTGATATTTTTTTACGTCTCAATTGCACCTACGCCGTTTTTAAAAAAGAACTGATGTGTTCTTATATTTGGGCAATAAAGGATTAAATTCATTTAGAATGCTTTAATTTTCTTGTTTGATTAGTAAGGTGAAATCTAAGACATAGTTAATACATGGACCTCTATATAATCGAAATTTATTTCTGACATTTTGTCTAAAAAAAAAACAAAAAAAAAAGCCTACCTACCTACTCATATCTAAAATGAGGAGGCGCGTTACTGCAAAAAAAGATTTTTTTAAGGATGGCCTTATATCAAAATATTGAGCCTGAACACACCTGTGCTCGATGATTTTTACTCAAAATATTGACGCCATTTTTAAATTTTCCTATAGAAATCATGGAAATTTTAGTTTTACGTCATTTTCCTGACGTCATTTCAAACACATGACGTCATTGCTGACGAAAACATTTAGTGCTTTGACGTTAGCATGAATCCCCCCCTATTTTAAAACACATTTAAATTTTACTCCATCAAAGTTTGATTTTAGGGTCAAATATTGGTTACTACCGAATAAAGTTTTTTTTAGCGAGACACATATTTAGCAATATCTACCATGATCTACCTAAAATCTGGTATTTTATTTTTAGCAAGAAGTAATTTTAGTGATTTTAAAATGCTAACTTAAGAAGTTTTACAAATAATACGCAATTAATTTTTAGCAATATTCAATTCTAGCAATGTCAGCACCCTCGCTAATAATGCCAAAATTAAATCCTCGCAAAAACTCTACTTAAACAGTAGTTGTCGAGAAATTTTTAAAGTTTTTATATTTTGGGGGCAGGAACATAAGGAATATGCCTTGACATACTTTTCTGTTGCTATGGTTACACTCGTTATAGATTTGATACCTGTGTAACTTGTGACCTGTCGTAACTGACCGGTTGCCTTGGTAACAGGGTAGTGATTGGTCATTGTGTTGGGGCGCCCTGAGGGTTTGGACTCGGAGGTATAGAGAGTCTTACTTCTGTTGAGTGGTTTCTTGCCGCCCCCCTCCACTGCTGTGTTATCACTGAATGGATCTATGCTCTCTATGTCTAGTGAGTTGTTCCAAAGGTCTGTGTCCTCTGGAATAAAAACCGATAACTTATAAACTCAGAATAAACCTTATCAGACTGAGGTCAACAATCAAGGTCAGGCCACTGAAAGGTCGAGTCAAGGTTAGGTCATTTCCTTATTCAAAGATAATTCAAGATACATGTTCAAGAAAACCTTAGGCTCTTATTTTGGAAAGAAGTTGGTCAAGATTGGTTATATACTGTTAGTTTTTTTTTTATATTAAAAACAATCAAGAAAAATGAACCTGTTTAATTTATTCATTAGTATAACTTCCTGACCATAAATCAAAATTGGAAATTCTGTAAATATGATTGCAAACAACAAAGCTTGTATCATTTATCATGTTTATATTTACCAAAGTTTTCCTCGGGGAGGAGCTCTGGTTGATTCGGGGAGGGTTCGGAGCTGCTCTGGGGTCGTGACTTTGGGATGACCTTGGGACTGGAGGCATGGATTGGAGGACCAAGGCCATTAAAGGCAGGTGTAGAGGTCGCCACAGGAGGTCCTACAAAGGGGAAAAAAGAAATTTATCCACAAAACCGATCTTCCACCCAAGACACAAGAGAAATCTTACAGGAGTAGCAAATCAAGCCTTAATTACATGTTAATATGCAGTACAATTTTACAGATAGGAAATACTCTAAACACTGTTAACTGAAATAAAGAAAATGATACTACAAAATCCTGCAGTTTAACCACAGGTTTTTATTTAATATGTGTAGATTACCTATAATATTGAGGGCTGTATTGTCTGTCTGTTTGACTGTTAGCCTCTGTTTGAACTCCTGCTGCTTCTGATGTTGTCGCTGTAATCTCTCTTGCTTGGCTTTAAGATCTTCCTTGTCACCATCTTTACTGTAGAAATAAATCAAATAACTATATATTGATACCATGAATATGTTTCAATGTCTTTGTCCAAGATAAAACTTTAAATAAAAAAATTACTTGACTTCATAAAAATATTGTATCATCAATGAGCATGCCTTGGGTAAAAAAAATCATTTGCAGAACAGCAGAGAACATAGAAGTCATGGGACTTAGATCAAGCTTCTTAATTTACAAATTCAGGTAAACAGTAAAGTGTTCTGTTTTTTGTTGGGGGTGAGGGTGGGGGGTTAAGATGATGATCAAGTAATTGACTTACATGATTATTTTATGCCAAATGGTTCTAAAATATAATTATATGACAGCTCTACATACCTAGCAGTATTGACCTCTCTGAGTGGACTGTAGCTCTACATACCTAGCAGTATTGACAGGTTCATTTTCCACTCTCTGAGTGGACTGTAGCTCTACATACCTAGCAGTATTGACAGGTTCATTTTCCACTCTCTGAGTGGACTGTAGCTCTACATACCTAGCAGTATTGACAGGTTCATTTTCCACTCTCTGAGTGGACTGTAGCTCTACATACCTAGCAGTATTGACGGGTTCATTTTCCACTCTCTGAGTGGACTGGGTCCTCTTGTGTCTGAGGTTCATTCCGGTCCCTCCCACTCCGTGATTGAGGGGCAGTGACCCCCTCCTGACAAACTCCTGAGGGGGCAGGTCCTCCTCTTTCTGAAGCACCAGCTCCGCTGACACCCACTCTGACTTGATCACCACCTCCTGGTCCCGGGGGTTCACATTCTCCTTACTTGGTAAACTCTGTCTCCCCGTCACTCGAATGTTCTCCACGTTTGTCGACACTCTGGTTGTCTCTCGTGAAGTGATGTTTTTAGATAAGTTCTCGTTGGAGGAGTTACTTGTGGTGGCTGTTATATTGTCTCTAGAACCTATCCCTGTGTCTCGGGAATCTGTCGTCTGATTGGTTGTTGACACCATGTTAAGATTACTAGGAAGGTTTTGATTGGTCTGATCAGAAGCTAGCTTGTGATTGGAGAGTCTTCTGATATTAGAGGATTTCCTGGCCTGTTCTATTGCCACGTCTTGTTCTGTCCTCCTCATTTCTTCCAGATCATACACTCTAGCTGTCTGCAAGTAAAGACTGAAGTAAATATATCATCCAAGAATTATTTAAAACTAAGGAACGGTATTGATGAGGTGTAGGTGCATGCAATGTAATCAAGTCAAAAGGTTTACTTTTCCATAATAACATTATTTACTAAAGTCTGAAATATCATTTTCCTTCTATTAAACAAAGGAAATCAAGTACAGATGGTTGACATATATAATCTAGAAACTGTCAGTTAAAAAATGTTGTGGAAAGGTGCACCCTGTAACAATTCTGCAATACTTGGGTGTGTACAATGTGCTAGCGTCTACAATGAGTCGGTGTTTACAATGTGTGACATCTTCAGAATGTGGGTGTCTAGCTATAATGTATGGGTGTTTACATAGTGTGGTGTGTCTATATTGTGTACGGTGTCTACAGTGTAAAGATTCAGTCAAAAGACAAAGTGTCAGTGTGCCCTCACTACTGTACTACTTACAAGCATCATATATCCTATTACAATTTTGAAAAGAGGAAGCTAAATTTTAGAAAAGCCCTGTAATGCTGTATAGTGTATACTCACTGGTTTAGGAGCTCTGTTGATACACTTCAGATAATCTCGGTCTGCTAGGCAGTTACCCATTGAGTTCCCAAAACTCCTATAGAGAAAAGATAATACCCGGTAAATAGATCTATATTAAACTATAAACTGCAAGAAAAATACAATGTAATGTTGACGAGGGTGAATTATACTGTATACTTATGTTTCAAACAAATTGAAGAATACATGTACTGCATACATTAATTAAATCGGTGGGTTTATGATCTTCTACAGAGAACACCTTGTCCTCTTTTCTACATGCTTGTCTGACTGTAAACTAAAACTCAGCTGTATTTTAACATGAAAAATTTGAACTACTCACTTGAATGCCCCTAAAACTACTCACTTGAGTGCCAACTTCTTTCTTGAGTGCTTGCTTGAACTACTAACTTTAGTGCCCTCTTGAACTACTCCCTTGAACTACTCACTTAAGTGCCCGCTTTAGCCCATCAGTGACGGCCTCTTTTCTTGCTTTCTCTAGGGACAGAGCCTTGGATTTCATTCCTTCACTTACACCATATCCAATGTCTTCATGGAACACACCATCCTATCCAAAAAAAAAAACAAACCTTTATAGAAGAATTAAAAAATAAGCTAGTTATGCTTATATGCTGAAGTTTCTTGTATAATTAGTGTATTTAAAATCCTTCTGAGGTCTTGTTACATGATGTGTTTGTAACTTTTCTAATCAATCCTATTAATGGCAAAACGATTTGATGTGTGACTGAATCGGAAACTTGTGACAAACCTTCAGCTGAACTTTGACAAAAGCACTGACTCCTACGTAGTATCTGCCTCCACTGTGGTCAACAAAGTCTGCAAGAACGAAAGTACATAGGATGAAGATACAGCAAAACTCGGTTAGTATGAACACTTATATTGCGAATTTTCTGATATAGCGAAGTCATCTTGGTTCCCCAGCTATACAAATTTAATGAATTTCTAATATGGTTATAACGAATTAGGTCCCAGCGACTTCGTTATAACCGAGTTTTACTGTAACTTACATTGATATTAAGAAAAAGGCACAGAAACAATGAAATATAAAATCCATTGTAGTCTTTTATGATAGGAAAAAAGTACGTCAACTTTACCGACAGTTTGTTGAGAGACTGAGTGGGACCAGCCATTGAACCCAAACAGCTCGTTGGCAAGGTTGATGAGACGCCATCCTTCTATGTACGCAAGCTGCAAAATATTGTCATCACCAGTTGATTAATAATTAACAATAAACTGTATACAGATAACATTTTTGGGGGGTTGCTTCACTAATTTCAATCATGCTAATATGAAAAGTTATCTTTATAATTTACAAGCCATAGCAATTCCACCATTCCAATCATTTTGAACGATCTTATTAACCATATCAACAAGAATTGAATTTTTTTTATATTAACAATTGGTCCCATTTATCTCGTCAATAATGATTTGTGAATTGCATCTAGTCACAAACTACATTCTTCATGTTCTTGCTAAAACAACAAAAGCTCAAGAAAAAAACAAACTAAGCTGATTTAGATAAAACAATCTTTAAAAAAATAAGCACTGTTCTCGCTTTGGTATATTTTCAACTCATCATGGTCATGTGATGTCATGTTCATGATGTTCATGTGAGGTTTGAAGAGATCGATGAAAACTATTTTAGCTGAATGGGACTTGCCATAATAGTCGCACCATCAACAAACTTAAGCCTTATGGGTAGATGACTAGATGAAGAGATATGCCGCATCTGTAATTAGGTAAATATTGTCTCGTATCCTATTTTCAACCGTATTGTATTTTCGACCTATTTTTCCCAATCTGTTTCTCGTGCAGATACCGCGCGGTAGAACATTATTTTTGGTTCCTACACTTGGAAAAATACCTTTCAAACACAACTGTAGTGAAAATACCAAAAATAATCAATTCTTCAACGGAATTCCTTCCGTGGTTTTAGTCCGATGTCAGAAATTCTAGTCTTTTTACTAATGCACATTTTATCTGTTGATTAATCAAAGCCATAATTGGTTAATTACAAAGTTTTTTTGATGACATTTACTCAAATGAAAATCAAGATCTCTGTCAAAGAGATGCATGAATATTGAAATGAATGGGTGGATCAAACAAATTTTTTTCTCCCTTAGATATAGGCGCTTTTTTACTGAAAAATGCAACGTTATTTTATTGATTTCTTTTGGAAATGCACAGCTTCTGACAAATGGGTTCAACCAACGAATAAATGTATTTGCAACTGAAATATGAAACTTGTTCAATATTTTTTTGAAAGACTGACAATCATATTTTTATTGTTTGGAATATCCAACGGATATCTAAAGCCAATACTGTTTGGTCATTGATACTATATTTAGGTCGAAAACACAAGACGGTAATATTTTTGTAGGTAAAAATGGACCCTCCCCATATTATGGCATTATGAATAAAATAAACACAAAACTGCAATTTCGGTTGTATCATTTTATCCATAGACACATATGCTAACATTTTAAGCCCATAGTTTTTCAGCATGTATTAAGTTTGCAATAAATTAATAAATTACGTCTAAATATGTCGAAAATACAATACGCTAGGATACTAAAATAGGGAAATGTTGAGGTGTATGGCCGATGATATATACACGACCGTCGTGCACACTAAATGGAAAGTCTATTTACACGACCGTCGTGCAAATAGCTATTGCAAAGTAATGAGATATATACACGACCGTCGTGCATAGATATTAAGTAAAATCTATTTACACGACCGTCTTGCATATAGCAATTGCACATACACGACCGCATTTATCGTCGTGTACCCTAAATTCGTCCCCAAACTTCTCGAGACCAGCACCTTTCGAACTTCGTATCGAAGACGTCATTATTAATTTTTCAGAATTTGCTGTTTAGTTTTGAACTTAAATAAAATAAAAAAACTTCAAATATCTGATTATTCCTTATGTCCATTTTTATTGAAAGAGTACAGTTTACTTACGTTCCCCAAAATTACTTCCAGATCTAATATACCTTCATTTAATTATTTTATACCCGTCAGTGTATTAAATTACGTGCATGGGCTACAAATTAAAACAATTTATAAATACTGTGCTTCTTATTTTCCCTTTTCTTGTGTGTGTGTTTTGTTTTAATAAGTTTCATTTAATCGAGATTTTTTCAAGAATATGTTATGGAGACAGAAAATAAATAAAATCAAATATATTTTATCAAAAATATTTCCCATACAGAAGAATTTTTTATACCACCCCTTTCAATAAAAAACAATCTGTCAACATAAGCAAGCATTGATGATCACATTGTGTGAATAGATCTACTTTTGACCTTGCAAAGTCGCCAGTCCTCCTTCCCCCCCCTTTTTGCGTGCAAAAAAGTCGGTAAGTAGCCAAGTAATCAAGAAGAAAATGTATTATTTCTACAAACCAAGAATTTATTTTATTGAACAGTCCGAACAGTCATTTTATTGAGCCGACCAAAGAAGGTGAATTTTTGTCACAATTTTTACCAGTTTGACTGGTGCTGTGTGCTGACGTGGTGCAATTTTATGGGTGCATTGAAGCATAACTAATCCAGCGGGCGTCTACTGGGTCGAAATTCACGATATAATCAAGTAAAACAAAATCTATTCTGCAAATTCTTTTATTTCTCATTTTCTGCAGATCTATATAGTATATGAAAAGTCTTTTTTCCCTGTAATCATGGTAATGTGAGTATTTCACGCATTATTCAGTCTTCGCCAAATCTTTTTTTCAGCACATGTCCTTCGGGCAGGTGTGATCACCAATTACGCAAGCCCGAACAAATATTTACATGCCCAGAATTTTATCAAGTTATTTTATTCTTATTTGCCTTTTCATGCCAAGAGAATAATCTGAAAATCCAATCTGTCAATTTCTTGTCTCGCCAATTGTTTTCAACCTGTACACTTTTTGTGTCTCTTTTACAGAAGAGTTCCTTGGAAATTGCGGTAAAATAAGATATCAGTAAAATTTTAATTTTTTTACTTCACTAAGATGGAAAATCAAAGACTTTAAAGTACATTTTATGTTGTGGGTTTTATTTAATTTAATTATACCAAGGCTTATGCCTTAGAGTTAACATGCCCTTCGGGCTTGTAAGAGTACAATTTCCACATGCCCGCTTCCAATTTTACCAGGTTTAGTTTTCCTATGCTTTTTTTTTCAGATTGTGCCTGACTTGCACTGCTCAAATATTTTGATATTCTATCGGTTTTTGCCATTTAGGTCAATGTATTTTGGAAAATCTAAAATAAAACATTGTATAATGTCACATATCAGGTAATATTGGTGAGCATACAATAACATGACATCGTTGAAAGCACGTTCGTGTTTTTTTTTTTTTTGTTTGTTTTTTTTTTTGTTTTTTTGTTTTTTGTTTTTTGTTTTTATTTCGTTTAAGAAAACGGAGTTGGTATAATCGAGAGCAATTTATGTTCTTTATATGATGAACAGAGGAAACTTTCCACTTCCTTTACGGTTCTCACAAAAAAATCACCTTCTACTAATCAAAATTAAGTAAACGTATAAAATAGTTATCCACGTGCAGATATAATAACGTTTATTTAGCGTCTGATTCATGCAGTTTTGTAATTAAGGTGCTATACTATAATTTGGAGATTCTGCTTGTGAAGTCAAATTTTAAGAGAATTATTAATAAAATTTTGTTTGTTTGTTTGTTTTTGGAAGTAACATATCATAAAAACAGGTTTTACAATTATTTTTTGAAAATTAAATTTTAGTGCCCTTTGAAAATATATTGATTTCATTTTTTTTATACAATAATATAAAGAGAGATTCTCGATTTTATTTCTTAATATAGAGATCTAGAGAGATTTTCATTTTATTTAGATTGTGCATCATTTGTTCTCAATATTTCCCCAATTATACAAGATATCAGCACCACTGGCTTTAGCTGAGATGTTTGAATTAAATCAGTGCGTCAGGTCATTTGTTCGTGTTGTTTATTCCACAGAGTCCATATCCTTAATTGGTTGAAACAAATGGTTTAATTAATACAACAAAGTTCAAAAGTCAATTTTCTGTCAACAAGTGACAATTACTACATACATCGGATACATGTAACCAAGTAATTGGTCGTACATGCGAACCGTCTTAATTGGGACGAAACACCTCAGTGCGAATGGTCTGTGGGGACGAACCGTCTCGCACTCAAACAAGGAAAGATAAATACAATGCATGTTTAATGTTTCACACGACGGTCGTGGAAATAGTCATTGAAATTATATACACGACGGTCGTGCGAATAGTCATTGAAATTATATACACGACGGTCGTGCGAATAGTCTTTGAACTTTTATACACGACGGTCGTGCGAATAGTCTTTGAAATTATATACACGACGGTCGTGTATATAGACACTGCCGAGGTTGTATATGTATTTACCCTCTGTCCCCCAGCTCCAGCACGCTGACTTATAAATTCGGGTCCTAGTTTCTGTCTCAGTGCATTTTGTATTGCTTCTTGTTCGTCGTGTGAATACTCTGTCTACAAAAAGAAAGATAAGTACGTTGATTAGTTCAAACACAGTCACTAGTGGTCACTGTCAGTCGTCATTTATCTATAGTGGTACTTAAAATATAGCAGAACAGCAGAAATATAGTTGATTGACTCAACATGAGTAAAAATCTTTAGAACACAAAAATGAAAATGGTCAAAAATTTTGTATTTAACCTGTCCAAAAGAGGCCATTTTCTCCATATCTGACTTTTGATGTTTACATTCTCGAATAATGGCGCCTCACTGCGCTGAGCCAATCAGAGCAAATCTATTTTTAAGAATGTATTTAAAATTATCAACAAAACGAAATATATTTGCCAATCTATAGTTGAGATGGTTAGAATTTAGAGGAACGAAATAAGCATTAATCATATAACAATGAATTGATAGAAGAAGAAGTTTTAGAAGAAGAAGGAGGAGGAGGAGGAGGAGGAGGAGGAGGAAAGAGAGAAATACGATAAACCTATGAGATCGATCCGGAGGATAACATTTTTAATTTATGTTCACTCTTGAATTAAACAGTCTAGTCGAACACCCAAACGGGAGTAGGAAACCCGTAACCTCAAACGGGGTACGCGCATGCGCAGACACTCAAAAAAGTGCCGTTTGTGTGATCCACAAAATATGCTCGAGAAAAGTGATGGATTATTTCGTAGCTCTGTTTATACTCAAAGAACTATATGCGGTATTAACCAACATTTGCCCCCCAAAATCAAACTTTGATGGAGTAATATTTAATTAAGTCCTTAAACAGGGGAGTATATGCTGACTTCAAAGCACTGAATAATTTCATAAGTAATGACGTCATATGTACGTAATGACGTCACAAATATGACGTAAATTTCAGTTTTTTATGCATTTTGCAGAAAAATGTACATATTTCGTCGATATTTTAAATAAAAGTCACCGAGCGCATGTGTGTTCAGGATAAATATTTTGATATAATTTGTAGAATGATAATATCAATGAAATATGTCAAAATTGTTCCTGAACACACATGCGCTCTATAAATTTTAAAGCTTGAATTGTTGAAATTTTGTCCATTTTGTCCTCTTTCTGAAAAAGGATATAAAATCGGACTAGTTTGTGATGTCATAAAAACAGAAATTGTGAATACACTGCTCTGGTACTATAATATTTTTTGTTAACTTATATTTCTCGTACAATTTATTGAATTCAGCACATTTCAGGAAGTTTTCAAAATTTGACTTTTGTGGGGGCAAACATATGCAATATACCGCATATAGTTCTTTGATAGATTAAAGATGTTTAAAGAGATTAATGTATTGCGAAAAAGTATATGTTTATTGCAAAAATCGAGACTTTTTCTCTCCCAAAGTTAGCGCATTCTGTGCTTTGGCCTCCATGCTTGATACAACTAGATTTTTTTTAATTCATAATTTAATAAAACGGATGAATAAACAAACAATGGTTTGTCTGAAGTTGAACTACATATATTTCCCTTCCCCGGTATTAAAAATTTTGTGTAATTAACATGTTATTTATTATTTTTCGACACTTTCTTGTGTGCCCGTCCGAATTTCCTCTGTCCTGTAAACAAACTTTTGTGCTTCAGAAATGAGGTAAATAAAAACGAAAAAAAAATTATTAATTTTTTTAATTGAAAAAACAATGTAGACAATTCATTTTTGTATGTTTGTGATTTTTAAAAAATATATTTATTTATTAAATAAGATATTAAGAGCTCTTGAATTCCACTTCCGCTTTCGCGCGTTGCATTTAGGGAAAGAAAATCCTCGTTTGCCCCTGTTTGAGGGTTCGACTAGGCTTTAAAATGATCGAGTCCAGACATTTAAAAATGTTAGAGAATAATTATCCACAAAAATTGTGGGGTGGGATGGGGGTTTGGGGTATTCTAGGAAGCTCAAAATCTGATTCTCGCAACATTGCTGGGTATAACATTGTTTACAGTAGTAACAATCAAATGATTTAAACAACCGTTTGCTGGATGTAAAATTGATGTATTGCCAAGTGTTGAACTCCAAATCGTAGATTGTCACCAGGGAGCTACACTGTATATATACTAATACATATGTGGTATATAGGTCCCTGTTGTCACATAAGAAAAAAAATTAGAAATCTTCTATTAGCTTTCAAAAGTAACGATTTTCAATGAGAATCCTTTAGTGAAAGGTGTCGTAATAATGTAACATATGAGGACTATCTCTTATTTCAGATTTATTTTGCTGATCCAGCAAATGCTAATTAAGCGAGATATTTCACCAGGATTTCTTAAATTCGTTAATCCTCTAGTATATTTTACTTTTACATTGATATGTTATGTGAATGTACTAATCCCCGTGTGTTATACTAGTATATAGTTCAGTGCATGAGCTAATCCCTGCATTGTAATCACACTACATCTGACTCCTCTACAATGACATGTATTTTTGAATGTGTTCGGTGCGATTTCGTTTGTTTTTTATTTGTGAATTGAACATTTGCAGGATCGGTACCAGTGTATATGATATGCCATTATTTCCAAAGCAGTGGGCTTGACAAATTTCTTGGTTTCATGAAAAAAAAAACCTTGAATGACCTTCTTGTCCGAAGACCAATTTCCAGCTGTGCAATGCGCACCATTTTTGCACAGATATGAAATTCTTGATCACTAAAAGGATTTGAGAGATTGCCACAGGAGTAGTCCCCCAGTCAAAAATCAAATAACAAACAGCCATTGACTCTCATATCTCCTGGTAATCATCTGATATCTTAGTGTCCATACCAAATCCACTCAACTTCTGGATGACCCAATTTTGTGGAACAATTTTCAACTTATTGTATGCTGCTAACTTTATGCTGGTGTACCGTTATCTTTAGTAAACATTTTGCTGTTTGTTAATCTATTTGGAACAATTTTTCATGAGTGGTATTCATAAGCTTTTAATTTTTAAAAATTTTTTTTTTTACAGATTTCTCTAAAGGAACCCCCTGCAGACGCCATACTGTCTGCTTTTTCACGCTTTTCTAGCGTCAAACGCCGCATAGGATGTAACTTTTTTCTGAGTTCTCATCTTCGCTAGCCAAGGGTTTCTGATACGCTACTCTCCTCATAAACCCTTGGCCTACGGTGTTCATAGAAATCAGGATTTTTTTCCAGAGTTCTGATTGGATTTCAGTACACCCAGGTCGACCAATCAGCAATTGTTTTCTGTAAATGACGATATTTGCGTTCGGGATACATCTTCACTCTTTAATCTCGGAAATGAAAAAACGCAAGTAAACAACGATCCGTAAGATAACATTCAATTCTATGAATAGCCATGGTGTCATCCAATATCCTCTAAATATGTGATTAAGAATCTATATTGAAGCTTGAAATTTGTTCTATAAATAATGAATAAACATAACTGAATTATTGCTTCTTAATTATTTTTGAAAAAACTTTGATTTAATCTTTTTTAACACGTGTCTTTATTTCTGGCGATGACGCAATCTGAGCATACCTGATAGATTCGAGATCACGTGACGGAAATCAATCCTGTCTTTTGACTTCACCGTAGGCCAAGGGTTTATGAGGAGAGGAGCGTATCAGAAACACTTGGCTAGCGAAGATGCTGAGTTCTTAATTAGTACAAATGAAATGGAAAGAACACAAAAGAAAGTTAAGACTTAAAATGCAAATGTCTTGGTTAAACAGCAAAAGTTTCGCGTTTATTCGCGAAAGTTACGCGTTATAACGCGAAAAATTCATTTTTTTTTACCCCACGAAAATGAGCTTTCGTAAAATGTAAAGAACACAAATACAAAGAAAAAAAATGATTTTTTTTCGTCAAAAATGGAAAAGACATGAAAGATTTTATTTTTTTTCTATGAATTGGTCACACTTCAATAAACATTGCAGTTATTCATAAGGTTTGACATTAATATGTCTTATCAGGCACGTAGCATCGTTTTTGAAAGTGAATTTTTTTGCTTAACCGGAGAAGTTGACAAGCCAAAAAAAAAAAAAATGGAAGAAAAAATTGCCCAAACTATATCGTGAATGGGGGGGGGGTGGGGTTGGTAGAGGCCAATTTTTTTAGGTGCTGATTTATTTTGGTACAAATTTTTGGGCATATAATACTACATTTCCCTTATATAACTTTACCGTAGTATAAACGGGGGGGGGGGGAGGGGGGCACCAGCCTTTCAATGAACATTTGCAATAGTAATAGTAGAGTTTGGAAAAAATGGAAAAAGTGGGGGAGCCCCCCCCCCCCCCCCTGCCCCCGGTTGCTACGTGCCTGCTTATTTTTTGTTAAAGTAACATATTTATATATCAAATGCATCACTAACAGGTTTTAAAAAGAAAAATATTAATTCTCATAGGTGGTGCGTTAGCAATTTTGTCTTTTGAGCACTAAATCGAAAATTGCTTGGATTTGAACCCAACGTGTTTTTATGCTTCATCTGCAGAAATAATGGCACAGGTGAAAAAATCCAAATTGCAAACAACAGTCTCTTAATAAAATACAATTTCTAATGCTTGAAATCATGCTGATTCAATGTTTTCTTCGTTTTGTTTAACTTATTCTTAAATATTTAAACACCGGAAGTAGAAAGTGTATAAATATTAATTAAAGACGGGCTGCTGAGAAAAGTTGTCTGCAAATGTTGAAGTTAATTCGCAGGCGTTTATGTGGCCGGTTGGATTGGAGGACTCTGGGGAAAAGGTTATTCTAATCTCTGCTGAAATAGAATGTGACTTACTTTGGCAGGTTTGACCGGAGAAAGGTTTTCTTCTTGGTGATGGACCTCGCTGATTGAGATCTTTCGCCATGCCCCTGCGGAGATGATAATTTTGGCACTTGAGAGGATAATGAGTTCGTGCATAATTTCATGGTGACTAGACGCCGTAAATCAAAATGTTTAGTAAGAGCAAGAAATCAAAGGAAGGGAAGGCTCGGACTGGGAAAGAAAGTCCTAACCATGGCCCCTTCAGTAGCATGACTGCCTCTCTGCCAAAGAATATTTTCTCTGGTAAATCACGCAAAAATTCGGGGGGATACGTTATTGCAGATGGAGGGAGTCAACCTTCCTCATCTAAGAATGGTCAGACAATGGGTTCAACAGAACTGATGGCGCGGTCACAGACCCTGAGTCACTCCCCGGGCCATGGGTACTATTTTGAGGGGGGTAGCCATGGAGGGGGGAGTCCCTATCACAGTCCCTCCAACCCAGCCCTCTCTAATGCAAACCTATCAAATGCTCACGGGAGCCCCTTCAGCAGCCCTTCCCACAGTGGAGGGAAATCAAACACCCTGAGTAGCGTACGGTCGCTAAGGGAAAGATACGAGCAGGAATCGAGTCCGCAGCTGAGCGATCGTTCACTGGAGAGACAGATCGACAGACTTCAGATGTTAGCCCAGAGTGAATCAAATCCTAACATTAGTCCAAGAGACTTTCATAGCTACTCCATGTCATCTAGTTTCAGTAGAGAGAGGGTGACAGACAGGGAATACCCCCATATGGGAGCACGGTCATTAGAGCGTGACCACAATTATCCGGGTCGTTCACGCTCCATGGAACGTCCAGACTACACAACACAATTATATAATCAAGAGATGAGAAATTTTCGTGACACTTTTATTCTGGATTTGGAAGGACAGATTGCTGATTTGAGCAAAGAATGTGCCAAGCTACACCAGGAGCTTGACTCTACGAAAGAGAAGCTGAGTTCCAGCATGAACAGCATAAAGACATTCTGGAGCCCAGAGCTGAAGAAGGAACGCGCCCTACGCAAGGAGGAAAGTGCCAAGTATTGTTTATTGAATGAACAACTCAAAGTGGCTCAGGCAGAACTCAAGGTCAGAATTCATTTTTATATTTTGAAGAAAATATTTGTTTTGTTAAATAGTTTCAAAGCTAGGTTTCTTGATGGAAAATTTCCCAGAAATAGGTGTAAAGTAGGCCTATAAAAATACCAGTATTTCAAAAATACTTAAATTGAAAGTCAGAATGAATTAAGAGAAACTTAATTTAGCAAAAAACTCCCATTCAAAATGGTTTGCATTATATAGCAGTAGATATTTCATTCATCCAAGCATTCCAGTCAGGATGGTAGTGTACTATTTTCTACCTGATCGATGATTCTGATAGAATCTTATTCTTTGTTCAGTGGAACTAGTAATTCGCATTTAATTTGACTATTAAATGGTTCTTTTTGTTGAATGCAGAAGCAGGCCTCTGTAATCCAGAGTTTGGAGAGTCAGGTCAGTCTGGGTGAGGACGTCCAGGCCAGCTCACGGATATCTCAGCAGGAGATCGAGATACTCCAGCGAGAGAAGGACAAGCAATCAAAAGAAATACTCATTCTGCGGCGAACGGTCGACGAGATGGAACTTCGAATCGACATCCAGAAACAGACGCTCGCAGCTCGCGACGAAAGCATGAAGAAGTTACTGGAGATGTTACAGAGTAAGGGCCACTCGATCAGTAACATACAGGAGAATCAACGCGAGATCGAGGGTCTACAGGCTCAGAGGCTCGAGGACGAGCGCAAGATCAAACAGCTACAGAACGAGCTCAGTCAACAGTCAGACGAGTCCGCGGCTCTCAAAGAGGTCAGCAATACACTATCAGGGTTAATGTGATAATGTAGAGTCGGGTTAATCTGAACCCATTAAATAATATCAACCATCCTAAACATACCTATTGACAACTTTTTAAAGAGTTTATCAACTTGAAATATTAAGTTGTTAAATTTTTTTTGCGTTGTCTTTGAAAATTAGCTACCAGGAGAAAACAAAACAGAAACTCATTTTTGAAATAGGAATTTATATTAGTGTAGCATATATATATAGCTCACATTTATAATTCATTAAATATTATTTTTAACTTTCAATGTATAATCATGCCTTTTAATTTATTTGTTTTTAAACTTTCAGGAGAAGAATCATCTATCAGATGAAGTAAAACAACTTGATCTGCAGTTGAAACAGATGCCAGCCAGCAATCATACCATGAAAGCCATGCTGGAGGCCAAGGTAAGCACTAATTAACAGCTGATTAGTATTGATTGTTAATTAGTATTGATTGGTATCAGTCCCACCAACAGTTGGAATTTCCAGCTATATACTTTGTTTCCCTTAATTTTTTGTTGAACATCAATTTTCATTGTTATCCTGTTTTATTTTGAAGCATATTTTATTGACAATATGTCAAAGGGATTGGTCACAAATCCTAAAAACTTGGGTTGCGTTCTCACATTTTGTTCCTTATTGAGCCATTTAGCATACCAAAAAATTAGTTGACCAAGGAACTTTAGATTTTACTAATTATTATGTATTCCATATTATTGTTAAATGAAAATATATGATGGGACTCAGTGTCAATCAAGACAGCAATATATTAGAACAGTCAGGGGTGTGATTGAAATCCATCATTTTTAAAAATGATGATTTTCAGTCATTAAATTGATTTTTAATAATGATGGAAATTCATCATTTTTTAGTAAAATGATGAAAAACAGTCATTTCTATTTTGAAATTTATTTTAGAAATAGAGTTATCTGATATTAAAAATGACTGTTTTTCATCATTTTTTATCAAATTGTTAGGTCTGGGCGCACTTAATTATCTCATTAGTTTTACGGGGCGCACTAAATTATTTTGGTTTAAATTACTTGTCAAGATGTTTCTCTACACAAGGGTCTATGGCAGGATAGTGTACTATATCTAATTACTGTAGTAAATGGGATGGGAAAATTGACTTGAGAATGGAAATATGATGAAAAGACGTCATATTTACAAAAATCAGAAAATTGTGTACATTATATACTTAGAAGAAATGACCATTATCCATTATTTTCAAAAATGACTGATTTCAGTACCACCCCTGACTGTAGAATTAAAGAAAATGTGATGATAAATTCCTTGCATACATGTATATTTAGATAAGAAATTGCCAGTATTGCATTTCATTGACATTGTATAGTTTTCAAAGCCCGAAAGTCTAGTTCTCATAAAAAAGAATTTGTAGCAACAACAGTTGTTAGGTAACAATTTAGTGATTGATTTTTGTGACCATCAAAAGAAACTGGCATGTTGTTGACATACAAAAGGTCAAGGTCATTATAATCATCAGAAAATTTGTTTGAATTTTTAAAAGAGACTTTCATTGCTTAATATTGTGCAGATTGTCTGCAATTCAATCATTAACAACATAATTATGTACTATACTACAACAGTTAGACTAGTGTTTTCCATTTTTCTTGCATGAAAAGTGTTATCAGAATTATTCAGTGATGACACGTTTTTGTCAGCAAGCAATAGTCTGTGATCAGATGCCTAATTAGTACTCTATTGATTACTTTAACGACAATCTCAGGAACAAGACTGTTTGTGCTGCAATAGATATTGTCATCAATGATGATTTGTGCATGCTTAGTGAAAATTATTGTGTAGGAAACAGTACTTGAGTAACATTTTAAACACTTGCTGTGGCATGCCTAGGATAGTTTTACATTTTTATTTGTAGAACTTGTGTGTTCAGAATTCATCAGATTTAAAATGGATTAAAAAATAAGGCAGAATTCTTAGTGTGTTACAAGATCTCTATATTGGAGATACAAACATGGGATAATGATGATCATATGATAGTATCCCATCAAATGTTTCAGTAACACAAAATACAAATTAATTATATTTAGATGATTACTATACTGGGTTTTAACTGGGCCAGGCATGTATTACATTTGGAATGAAGTAAAAAATTGATTTTTTTAACATGTTTAACCTGAACAACCATGTGCAGTCTGAAAATTATAAAATTGAATAAGCGAGGACAGAATTTATATATAAGATTTTTAGAGGAGGGCAGGGGGGATCGACTTTTGTATGACAATTCTCTGCCTACACCCATAACAAACCTCAGTGTGCAGTAAACAAGTAAACTTATACAGTGAAGCATTCCTAGCGGCCACATCCTGTAATTAAAGACCCTCTGTACCTCTTACTTTACAGGTGATTAAACAAATTTCTTCGTCCCAGTACAAATATGACTGTTTTATTATGTTTAATGACTTTGTTTCTTGATGACTAAACATTCAATATTTTTTCCCTTTATCATGTGTTTACCTGGAATTTATTTAGTATAACCAATGTAGCATGGTTTTACAAGCATCAGTAACCAAATTTGGTGGAGAAAAAAAATATATATAATTTACAATAAGATGGGTCAATATTGTTTCGCTTAAAAAAATCTTTAATAGTTCTATTACCAAGTTTGGTATGTTCTTTTGTGCGTTTGTAGATTTGGTGTTTTATAGTTGACCTGGCATGACCCTTATAGTGTTAAAGGTTATAGGTAAGCTTGTACACTTCAGCTTGTTAGTGTCGAGGGTATGGTACTACTAACTAGTAGTAGGGATATGGTACTTACTCAAGATCCATTTTGTACTATCATGTCATTCACCATCTGGGTGCATGTGAAAATATAGAGAAAAAGTCTTTAATACAAAGAAATAAATAATGTAAATGCTTCTGAAACAACTTGGTTTAATTAGCAACCATTTTTTTGAATTTTTCTTGGGTCAGCTAATGTTGCATGCATATATATTTATTATCCATCTGTATCAAAAGTTGAGGGTGGTGATGGATGACCTAGATAGCTTGTTAATTAGGTCATTGTTTGGAACAGGAAGTTGTATAACAGGACAGGAAGTGGTACTAATTCTTCACAGAATCTGATTCCTTTGTTTATAGAAGTGTGAAGGATCAATACAGAATCGAAACGTTCAGCCCCGGCAACAAATTTACAGCTAAAACCATCGCTACTGCATAGTACCATATCAAGCCAAGAAGGCCAAACAATCCAGCCATTATACATGTTATAGATATGATTTATATGATCATTTTGATTCGGTTTAATTTAAAGCCCATTCTTACAAGTAGCCTACTGAGTGTTTTCTGTTTGTGTAAATCAGATGAATGCTTTGTGTTAATTGAATTTTGAAGTACGCTTTCCTCTGTCTACTTGGTCAATATTTATTTATTAGAGGAAGCTGTATAAGTGGTTTAAATCAGTGATTGTAATTTGATGATTGTAACAGCCCATGAAATATTAACAGTATCTACAGATTTTATCAATGTGGAATAAGTTGAATTTTTTGATAGCACTCGTTACTTCTTTTGTTGTCATTTCAGATAAAAATTAAAGTATGTTAGTAACTTATATTTATATTTTCTTTTTACTTTGATAATTTGAGTGCCTCTACCATAATATTGAATTTTATGGCCCCAGGGTCAGGAGTTAGGGTGGGACTGTATTGATTATATAGGAAAAACTATAAATCCTAAATTTAATGAATTAAAATACTGTTAAGATGAGGAAAAATATAAAACTGCAGGCATGACATGACAGTCTATTCTATATATGCCATTTATTATATATGAAAATAAAAAAAATTCTTCTCTGCTCCAGGATATAACAGATGAATCTACAAATATAGTTATGATGAATATAATTTGATAATTCTTACAGAATTGTGAATTTGGCCCCAGGGTCAGGGGTATATAAGGGGGGGGGGCTATAATTATATACATGAAAACTTACAATTTAATTATTTTAATCAAATATCAATAGTGACAGGGGTTATGTATGGTAGGGGCAGTGTATTATGTGAATATTATATTAAAAATGTTTACCATTAATATGTAGTTTGTATAGAACCAAAAAAAATTTAAATAGTATTACATGATAATGATATAAAAAATAATGATATAAAAAATTAAAAAATAAGTTCAATAAATTCATGTCACCAGAATTGTTACTGGGATGAATTGGCATATAATATATATAATTGTTTTGTGTGTGGTGATGATAATGAAGATAACTTGTTAATTAGAGAGACAGGAAGTTGTATAACAGAACAGGAAGTGGTACTAATTCTTCACAGAATTGGAATCAGATTCCTTTGTTTATAGAAGTGTGAAGGATCAATACAAAATAGACTCCTTCAGCCCTGGAAAAAAATCTATAGCTAAAAAGCATCGTTACAGTAGTACCACGTCAAGTCGAGAATGCCAAACAGTCCTGTCATTATAGATTTGATTTGTATAATTTTGATTCGGTTTAATTTAAAGCCCATTCTTACAAGTAGCCTACTGAGTGTTTTCTGTTTGTGTAGATCAGATGAATGCTTTGTGTTAATTGAATTTTAAAGTACCCTTTCCTCTGTCAACATGGTCAATGTTTATAAAGGAAGCTGTGTAAATGCTTTAAATCAGTAATTGTAATTTGAAGTATAAGAGCTCTTGAAACATTAACAATCTCTATAAATTTACTCAATCTGAAATAAGTTGCAATTTTTGACATGCTCATGCTCAATGCTTCTTTTGTTGTCATATCAGATAAAAATTAAAGTATGTGAAAATATATAATCTTGTTACTTTGATATTTTGGGCTTAGTAATGCATAGAGTTCGGATAAACTTTAAGGCTAAATTTAATTAAGAAACTGACAAGTGTATGCATGAGGAAAAATATAAAATTGCAGGCATGACAGTCATTTAATTCTATATGCCATTTTATAAATAATTTTTTTTTGTACAGATATAATAATGAATCCCCACTTTCTTCCTGGTAAATTTTATTTCCCCAGATTTCTTTGTGTTATTATACTATAATAATAATTATCACACAATTTTACTTCTAAGAGTAATATATGTAGTGTATAAAGTACAATAAAAAAATGTGTTTTCCCATAATTTTTAGTTTGTATAACACCAAAAAGGTTTTTTAAAAATGTATTTACAGATAAACGATATTAAAAAAATTAAATAATTAAATAAAGTTCAATAAATGCATGCCATCATTAATTAATGGTAAAATATAAGTTTCTGTGTGACCGTGATAAGTAACTGAGTTAGACAGACAGGAAGATGACAGGGCACTAAACAGGAAGATGATTTATCTACGTAATACAACAACACTCTGTATCCAAAAAAACTTCATTATAATTCACGAGGGAAGCTGTCATTTGACAACTTTAATTAAAACAATTTGGGATTTATAGAACCAAAGTTTCTGTCTTAAAAAGTAGGTAAGAGCTACAATATAGAATATATTGTTTGACAATTTTAGATTTAATTGTCATAGTTTTGGTATACTTGGATTCAATTTTCATTTTATAATCAGTTGATCTTATCTATGATAATCTGTGATATTGTTTTGTGTATTTCTGTTTAACTTTTTGTTTATTGACATTATCTAAAAAAAAATCCTTTTCCGTTTCCAATTGTAAAGCAGTAATTGATACAATCACTTGAAATACAATACTCATGAGATTTATACAATCATTCCTCATTCAATACTGAGGTTAAAAACAACTCCTCTTTCAAACAGACAGAGATATAATTTAAGATTTACTAAAGACTGAGGAAAGTGGATTAAGTCCTGTCAGAAACAAGTTTTAAAAATCCACAAAATTAGGAACTAATTTCTATTAAGGTTATAGAATGTATAATTTTCAAACAGGTTATTTGAAAATATCACCTGATTTAGTAATACATGTACACCATTTGTACACAAATTCTCAGTATTTGTGATGAAAGATGAATCTAGCAATTTTTTTAAGCCACTGTTTTCCTTTATTTAGAATTGTAATATTTTGTCAGCTCTGTATGAGGTATATGTAATGTCAGACATTTTATAATTAATTGATGTAGAACTTTGTACTTCTCACAAAATTATGTAGTACTTTATACACAGGGATCATAATAATTACTATTAGTGTATGCTGTACAGTGTTTGCCAGGGTGCATCATATATATACATATATAGAAGGCATAGAACAGGGTAAATTCAGTTTTACATGCATTAGGAATATTTTCAGATGGAATTTGAAGGATACATGTATTCCTGAAGCTTGAGATTTTTTCTGTATTGAAGTTCTTTTTTGTATAAGACATGTGATTTGTTTACAGGATTCTAGAATTTCTGCCCTGGAGAAGGATGTCCAGGCTTTGGAAGACAGGATCATGAAAAACCAGGAGGATGGAACTGACGGGAGCGTGAAGAAGGACACCGGACTCAAAGACAGCTTGTCCAGCAAAGAGAAACATCTCAGATCAGAGGTTTGTGTGAAAGGAGTAAACTGTTTTAAAAATGAAAAAAAAGTCTGCTTGGTCAAAAGCTAATTTTGGGGAGCGTTCATGAATGTTCGCTCTGTTTAACAAGCCTCAGATGTTACTCCAAAGATTAACTGGTAGTTGTTGTGTTTGAAGGTGGAGAGACTAAAGACAGAATTAACAAGGAAGGAAGCTGAAATCGAGGGACTGAAACTGAAAGTAGACACACTGACAAGTCAGCAGTCCGAAAACCAGCAACACATCACCGTACTGAAAGACCAGGTGTCAGCTAAAGATAAACAGCTAGCCATGCTACAAACAGAGGTACGTAAACAGCTAGCCATGCTACAAACAGAGGTATATAAACAGCTAGCCATGCTACAAACAGAGGTACGTAAACAACACATTACCGTTCTGAAAGAGCAGGTGTAGGCTAAAGATAAACAGCTACAGGCAAACTACTTACAAATAAGTTGAAGTTAACAAGTTTCACCAACAAATTTTAATGTTAGCTTTTCATGAGTCTATTGTCATTTTACTGATCTTGTCAACAAATACATGTATAACATAATCTATTGGGTTATATTTTTTCTATATATAATGTTTCATACCTTCATCAATTTGCATACACTGTAAGAGAATTCTTGTTTCATCATGAGTTTGATGACAGATTACAATGAGTATCTGAATTACCTTGCATGATTTAAGAAATGTCTTGTTATTCATACCAAAATGTGCTAGTATTACAATAATTTGATTTTTTGTTTCAATTTTTAGATTGATGAATTCATAGAGAAGTTGAAGGAGAAGAATTCCACTATTGATAAGAATGATCAGAAATCCCAGAGTCTGCAGTTGGAGAAGAGACGCATAGAGAACGAGATGACAGAACTGAGGGAACAGATAGAAACCAAGGACAGGAAGCTAACTCTCCTGCAGAGGAAGGTAAAAAAGGTTCACCTACTCAAACACACAATGCACTGCAAAAAAATTGAATAGAAGCTACAGTAAAATTAAAATGTATATGTCTGACTTTGTTGTCTTTAGAGGATTTAAAAGCAAAAATCGCTTTAACTAGCAGCAGCTATAGACTTGCATGTATATACAAACTTGCACATTTGAATTCTCATCTTTTTTTTGCCATAAAGAAAATGAAGATTTTGTCAGATTATGTGTAAATGAGCTGTTCTCTTTGTCAGATTATATGTAAATGACCTGTTCTCTTTGTCAGATTATATGTAAATGACCTGTTCTGTTTATCAGATTATATGTAAATGAGCTGTTCTGTTTGTCAAATTATATGTAGATGAGCTGTTCTGTTTGTCAGTTTTTATGTAAATGAGCTGTTCTGTTTGTCAGATTCTATGTAAATGAGCTGTTCTGTTTGTCAGTTTATATGTAAATGAGCTGTTCTGCTTGTCAGTTTTTATGTAAATAAGCTGTTCTGTTTGTCAGATTATATGTAAATAAGCTGTTCTGTTTGTCAGATTATATGTAAATGAGCTGTTCTGTTTGTCAGTTTATATGTAAATGAGCTGTTCTGCTTGTCAGATTATATGTAAGTGAGCTGTTCTGTTTGTCAAATTATATGTAAATGAGCTGTTCTGTTTGTCAGATTATATGTAAATGAAATGTTCTGTTTGTCAGATTATATGTAAATGAGCTGTTCTGTTTGTCAGTTGATATGTTAATGAGTTGTTCTGTTTTTCAGTTTATATGTAAATGAGCTGTTCTGTTTGTCAGTTTATATGTAAATGAGCTGTTCTGTTTGTCAGATTATATGTAAATGAGCTGTTCTGTTTGTCAGATTATATGTAAATGAGCTGTTCCTTTTTTGTGTAAGTGAGGTGCTCTGTTTGTCAGATTGAGGCTCTAGAAGAAGACCTGAAGGAGAAGGATGCCACAATTTCTCAGCTGAAGGCGTCACAGAGCCACATAGAGAACACCACCACTGCCATCGCCACACTGGAGGAGACCATCACAGAGAAAGAGAGGCAGATAGAAAGGTGGGTGGTGATTGTTAAAAGATCTTCAGACATATATTGTTTTAATGGTATGTTCTTTTACCAAAGCGATGCTTTCTAGCTGACATTCATTACTTTTAATGAGGAATACAAATGTAAAAAATTCCATAATACATTCCAGAGTACTGAGGAATCTAGTGCATGCTTGTACTTTTTTTATCATTTAAGTCAAATATTGTTGCCTGTATTTCGGAATAAGATAACTGGACTGTTGATTTATGTGTGACAGACTGAAGGAACAGAGAGACCGGGCGGAATCGGAACACCAAGAGGAGTGTGATCTGTACATGAAGAGAAACCACGAACTGAAGGCCCAGGTGGATAAACTACAGCTGGATATCACAGACAGACAGGTAAACACAGACAGACAGGTAAACACAGACAGACAGGTAAACACAGACAGACAGGTAAACACAGACAGACAGGTAAACACAGACAGACAGGTAAACACAGACAGACAGGTAAACAAAAACAGACAGGTAAACAAAAACAGACAGGTAAACACAGATAGACAACACAGACAGACAGGTAAACACAGAAAGGTAAACACAGACAGGTAAACACAACATGTCAGACTTAAAAGCAGAAAATAAATACTGACATAAAAAACGGTGAAGGGAATCATCCCAGTCTTGAAAGATTTATGGTATATTTTAAATGTTTGTTTTTTTTATATCTCAGCTGATTTCTCTTTCAGTAACTGTTATTTATTTTATTATTTTCTTATTCAGTCCTGTGGGTATGTACCTGTATTTTGTAGACTGAGCTGTGTGACCTCAGGGAGAAGGTCACGGAGGCGGGGTCAGAAAAGTTCAAATCCGAGACACGCATCAAACAACTGGAGCAAGAAAACCAGGAGAAGACAGAGGAAATTCAGAAGTTAAAGGCAGAGGTTGAAGAGGTATTGTAATTACTCTGAAGGAAATGTTTTTAAATTAAGTTTGAGTTTTTGGTCTGTAAGTCATATAGACTTGTCAAGTAGGCATGATTCATGAAGTGTGCAAGCGATGGGATTTGATGGAAAACCCTTACCTACCTGGAAAATTTTTAAATCTGAGAGAATATGCACTTCTTAGCATCAGCATACAAACAGGCCATTTTTCTCGTATATTTTAATGAAATTTAATTGATTTTACTTAGAAAACTAAAGCTACAGCTGAGAAAGTTGTAGATGAAGAGAGTGAGAAGAAAGTGACAGATCTGATGTCACAGTTAGAGAAACAGGAAGAGGAAGTCAGGACAATAAAGGAAGAGGTCAAAAGGTCACAGGTGGCCATTACAGAACTGGAGGAGGACAAAGCCAAGAAAGAAAAGGAGATTGCTGAAATGCAGGAGTAAGTGGTAGATTAGCAAAAAAATCAGGCATGTTAGAGCAGTTGCTTGTAAAAAAAAAATCTAGACTCTTCCATTCTTGATCATCATTAATTCTAAATTCCGAGCTAAAAAGAACTAATAGGCTAACTTAGAGCTACATCTAGTATTTTATTTACAACATATGCATATCCGTGTTGTTTTTACAATAATGTTCTCAAATATTATAAAAAAGTAAACTTTCTGGCCTGTTTGGCAACTTTTGAGGTACTTTTTACAAAATACTTTTCATGCTATGTATTCTCTCTCTGAGTTATTCCCCTAGGCTGCCATCTTGGAGGTTGAACTATTGAATTTTCTTATTCAAGTAATAAATTTTAAATGTAAGGTAGGAACAGATTTGGAAAAAAAATCAATATGAAAATTATATATCAATGAGGGCATCACATTTGTATCTTTTGCTTATAATGATAATGCTATAAAACAATTACTTTGACTTCTTTTGATTTGATTAAACTGCAACAAGGGCACACTGTACATGCCTATACATGTATATGTACATGCTGATGTAAGAAATTTTATGCATGTTTTATTTTTATTTCACAGTATAATAAAGGAATACAAGCAGAAGATGGGAACCTTAAAACGAAGCCAGCAGATAGAGAAGAAGAAGAACGCTCATTTACTGGAGGAGGCGCGGCGAAGGGAGGGGGACCTTAACGATGATGCCTCACAGTTAAAGGTAATAGTAATAGAAGGGAGGGGGACCTTAATGATGACGCCTCACAGTTAAAGATAATAGTAATAGAAGGGAGGGCGACCTTAACGATGACGCCTCACAGTTAAAGGTAATAGTAATAGAAGGGAGGGCGACCTTAATGATGACACCTCACAGTTAAAGGTAATAATTACAGAAGACAAGGCCACCTTAATGATGATGCCTCACAATTAAAGGTAATGGTTATATAGAAAGGAAGGCCACCTTAATGATGACGCCTCAAAATTAACCATAATGGTTATATAGAAAGGAAGGCCACCTTAATGATAACGCCTCACAATTAAAGGTAATGGTTATATAGAAAGGAAGGCCACCTTAATGATGACACCTAACAGTTAAGGTAATAGTAATAGAAGGGAGGGCGACCTTAACGATGACGCCTCACAGTTAAAGGTAATAATTACAGAAGACAAGGCCACCTTAATGATGACGCCTCACAGTTAAAAGTAATGGTTATATAGAAAGGGAGGGCGACCTTAACGATGACACCTCACAATTAAAGGTAATGGTTATAGAAGGGAAGGTGACCTTATTGATGACGCCTCACAATTAAAGATAATGATTATAGAAGACAAGGCCACCCTAATGATGACGCCTTACAGTTAAAGGTAATAGTTATATAGAAAGGAAGGCCACCTGAATGAACACGCCGCACAATTAAAGGTGATAGTTATAGAAAGGAAGCTTTAGGGCACCTTAATGATGACGCCTCACAATTAAAGGTTACCGTAATGGTTATAGAAAGGAAGGCGATCTTAATGATGACGCCTCACAATTAAAGGTAATGGTTATATAGAAAGGAAGGCCACCTTAATGATGACGCCTCAAAATTAACCATAATGGTTATATAGAAAGGAAGGCCACCTTAATGATAACGCCTCACAATTAAAGGTAATGGTTATATAGAAAGGAAGGCCACCTTAATGATGACACCTAACAGTTAAGGTAATAGTAATAGAAGGGAGGGCGACCTTAACGATGACGCCTCACAGTTAAAGGTAATAATTACAGAAGACAAGGCCACCTTAATGATGACGCCTCACAGTTAAAAGTAATGGTTATATAGAAAGGGAGGGCGACCTTAACGATGACACCTCACAATTAAAGGTAATGGTTATAGAAGGGAAGGTGACCTTATTGATGACGCCTCACAATTAAAGATAATGATTATAGAAGACAAGGCCACCCTAATGATGACGCCTTACAGTTAAAGGTAATAGTTATATAGAAAGGAAGGCCACCTGAATGAACACGCCGCACAATTAAAGGTGATAGTTATAGAAAGGAAGCTTTAGGGCACCTTAATGATGACGCCTCACAATTAAAGGTTACCGTAATGGTTATAGAAAGGAAGGCGATCTTAATGATGACGCCTCACAATTAAAGGTAATGGGTATAGAAAGGAAGGCAATCTTAATGATGACGCCTCACAATTAAAGGTTTTAAATTTTGATTCTCTATTTACCTGGGATTAAAGAATTTTTGTTTGCTTATACTTATACATATCTTTTAACTGGTAAAAATAATGTATGTTAAGAATTATATAAAATGCAAAAGTCCATGTAAAATAACCCTGTTGTCTTTTAATTGTAGGATGCAGTGATTGCTAAGGGAGACAGGATAGAAGAGTTAGAGGAGGCGTTGAAGGAGAGTGTCCGCATCACAGCCGAGCGGGAAATGGTGATGGTGGAACAGCAGCAACAGCTAGAGGAGGCTGAAAACAAGGTCTGTATAACAACAGGTAGAGGAGGCTGAAAACAAGGTCTGTATAACAACAGCTAGAGGAGGCCGAAAACAAGGTCTGTATAACAACAGCTAGAGGAGGCCGAAAACAAGGTCTGTATAACAACAGGTAGAGGAGGCCGAAAACAATGTAACTTTGTACAATAAACATCAGGCTCCAGGGCCATAAAACTCAGACTAGCTGTCTATTGATATCAGCCCCACTTTTACCAAAGGAATATATAGTGGAAACATTAGAATGAGATCAAAAGTGAGCTCAACTAAGTTTTATGGCCCTTAAACCTAATATAATAGGTTGGATGCAAGTTCTTTATGATTAAATGCTAGCATATTGTAGAGGTGTCTGAGAGAGGAATAAACAACAACTTTGCAAGGAGAGTGAAATTTCACTTGGATTGTACTATTAGGAAATGCATTTGTGTATGGTTTGATAATGACTTCATGCTTATACTATTTTGACATGGATAGGTGGCCGAGCTGACTATGGAGCTAGCGAGGAATAAATCTGCTGAGAACAGTGCAAGGGTCAACTTCCTGACGAAACAACTAGAAGACAAAGAGCAGAAGCTAAAGAAACTGCAGTCTGAGAGACACAAACACCTAGAGGAGGTGTACGAAATGAAGTAAGTCAGACACAAACACCTAGAGGAGGTGTACCAAATGAAGTAAGTCAGACACAAACACCTAGAGGAGGTGTACAAAATGAAGTAAGTCAGAGACACAAACACCTGAGGAGGTGTACAAAATGAAGTAAGTCAGAGAGACAAACACTTAGAGGAGGTGTACGAAATCAAGTAAGTCAGAGAGACACAAACACTTAGAGGAGGTGTACGAAATCAAGTAAGTCAGACACAAACACCTAGAGGAGGTGTACGAAATCAAGTAAGTCAGAGAGACAAACACCTAGAGGAGGTGTACGAAATGAAGTAAGTCAGAGACACAAACACCTAGAGGAGGTGTACGAAATGAAGTAAGTCAGAGAGACACAAAAACCTAGAGGAGGTGTACGAAATGAAGTAAGTCAGAGACACAAACACTTAGAGGAGGTGTACGAAATGAAGTAAGTCAGAGAGACAAACACCTAGAGGAGGTGTACGAAATGAAGTAAGTCAGAGAGACACAAACACTTAGAGGAGGTGTCAAATTGAAGTAAGTCAGAGAGACAAACACCTAGAGGAGGTGTTCGAAATGAAGTAAGTCAGAGAGACACAAACACCTAGAGGAGGTGTACGAAATGAAGTAAGTCAGAGACACAAACACCTAGAGGAGGTGTACGAAATAAAGTAAGTCAGACACAAACACCTAGAGGAGGTGTACCAAATGAAGTAAGTCAGAGAGACACAAACACCTAGAGGAGGTGTACAAAATGAAGTAAGTCAGAGAGACAAACACCTAGAGGAGGTGTACGAAATGAAGTAAGTCAGACACAAACACCTAGAGGAGGTGTACGAAATGAAGTAAGTCAGAGACACAAACACCTAGAGGAGGTGTACGAAATGAAGTAAGTCTGAGACACAAACACCTAGAGGAGGTGTACAAAATGAAGTAAGTCAGAGTAGGAAAGACGGGAAATAAGCTTTATATCATATACCTAGTAGTGTACCAGCCCTGATACAGGCATTTTGGACTAGGTGAGACAGCACCTGGGAACTAGGGCTGTCTTTCTTTCTGGGGCTTAGATAACTCTGTCTGGGCCTATTGTCAAGGGGCTGTCTTCTGTTTAATTTGTGTGAATTAAGAGTAAAATTCATATTTTATTATGAAAGAGAAGCATCATATATCGAAAAAATTAACCAGAATCTTTAAAAATTATTTATTTATACTAAAATTTTGAGAAAATTGTTTTTAAGAAGTGTGCCAAATGATAGCACTTGTGATGTGAGAGAGGTAACTCATGTTTACTTCTAGGACAGCAACAAATCATGTTTTGAAAAAAAATGGACGTTGATTTGCTTTGACAGTAAGACCATACAAGTTTTCATTTAATGTGCATTTTTAATTTAATATATATTGTAAACAAAACTTTTTGTTTTTGAGAGATCAGCTCAAGTAGATTTCATGGGTCATCCTTACTTACAAATATCCTTCCCCAGGAATATGACCTTTGAGGGTGTTTTAATTCTTGAAATCTTTGGTAGGAATGAGTTACCCCAAAACAGTAAAATTTTGATTGAGAAATTTATCCTTAGCTTTTAATTTTTAAAAACCTCATTTTCAACCCTATGATGAATGAAGCTGTAAACAAGAGTATTAATACAGTGGTAACTGAGAATGATTTTTCGGTTAGAAATAGTCTAATGATAGGAATTTATTTTATTCAGACAGGAGGCCATTCAGGCTGCCATGAGTGAGAAGGATGCTAACATAGCTTTACTGGAGATGACCAGCACAAAACAAAGAAAGAACACAGAGGAGATAGAAAAACTCAACAAAGAGAAGGAAAAGTTACAACAGCAACTCAAAGAAGTGGTAAGTCAAGTCATAGTTAGAAAAAATGTGGTCAAGTCCAAAATGGTAAACTAAAGTTAGTATGTCAAGTGTTAAGTCTAGCCAGATATGTATGGAACTTCCAAAGTTAGAAAAAAAAATTTCTCAGCCTTTAAAAAATTGAATGACAGTGTGTAATAGTAATTGTGTATCATGACTTCATTTCAACTGCTTGTTTGTTTCTAGACACAGAACCGTATGAAGCTGATTCAGAAGCAGGAGAGGAGGAGCGAGTCCCTGGGGCGCTCCAAGAAGTCCCCCAGTCACCGGGCCAAGGGGGCGTCGCCCGACCGCGTCAATCCATACGTTCTCACGGCCCCGGCATCACTCGACTCATGACATGAGTTATACAGTAACTCAATCAGTGTGTAACTCAGCACTGTAACATAATTACAAACCACTGCAATAAATGTAAATTATCTAACTTTGATGTATTTAATTGATGACTGATGTTTATGCTGAGTGAGAAAAATAGAATGACATGTACTATGTGTGAAACAGAATAGGAAGAAAGGGTAATAATGTAATGAGTCAATGAATCGGACAATTTTAAATTTGCATGGGGTTATGCAGTTGCCAGATTTTCTATTGATTGTACTGTTTCTTATAGAGGTCCACTGTAAATTCCCTGTGGCTTTAGACCAATCCTTGTATGACCAGCTGCTCTGGCTTCTGTGATCGTTTAAGATGTTCTGCCTCTAATCAGCTGGTATTGTGTTTGTGTGTTTTGTGATATTGGAAAAGAATTTCAATATACTGTTCTGGTTAATAATTGTAAAATTCAGTACTGTGTACAACTGTGTTTTTTTTCTGTGTTCTCTGCACTAATCCATTTTTAGCTCACCTGAGCCGAAGGCTCAAGTGAGCTTTTCTGATCAAAATTTGTCCGTCGTCTGTCGTCGTTATCGTTGTCGTTGTTGGCGTTGTCGTTGGCGTTGTCGTTGTCGTAAACTTTTCACATTTTCATCTTCTTCTCAAGAACCACTGGGCCAATTTCAACCAAACTAGGCACTAAGTATCCTTGGGTGAAGGGGATTCCAGATTGTTCAAATGAAGGGCCACGCCCTCTTCCAAGGGGAGATAATTATGAATTAGTGAAAAATTGATAGCATTTTTAAAATATCTTCTTCTCAAGAACCACTGGGTCAGGAAAGATGAAACTCATGTGGAATCATCCTCAGGTAGTGTAGATTCAATTTTGTTCAAATCATGACCCCCGGGGCTAGGGTGGGGCCAAAATGGCAGAACAAAGTTTTACATAGGAATATATAGGAACAATCTTTAAAAATCTTCTTCTTAAGAACCACTGGGCCAGGAAAGATGAAACTCATGTGGAATCATCCTCAGGTAGTGTAGATTCAAGTTTGTTCAAATCATGACCCCCCGGGCTAGGGTGGGGCCAAAATAGCCGACCAAAGTTTTACATAGGAATATATATAGGAAAAATCTTTTAAAAAATCTTCTTCTCAAGGACCACTGATATTGGAAAAATGAAACTCAGGTGGAATCATCCTCAGGTAGTGTAGATTCAAGTTTGTTCAAATCATGACCCCCAGGGCTAGGGTGGGGCCAAAATGGCCGACCAAAGTTACATAGAAATGCATAGAACAAATCTTTTAAAATCTTCTTCTTCTTAAGAACCACTGGAATTGGAAAAATGAAACTCATGTGGAATCATCCTCAGGTAGTGTGGATTCAAGTTTGTTCAAATCATGACCCCTGGGGCTAGGGTGGGGCCGAAATGGCCGACCAAAGTTTTACATAGGAATATATAGGAAAAATCTTTTACAAATCTTCTTCTTAAGAATCATTGAGAAAGGAAATATGAAACTTATTAAATGAAATTATCCCCAGGTAGTGTAGATTCAAGTTTCTTCAAATCATGACCCCTGGGGCTAGGGTGGGGCCAAAATGGTTGACCAAAGTTTTACAAAGGAATATATAGAAAAATTCTTTAAAAATCTTCTTCTCAAGAACCACTATGCCAGGAAAGATGAAACTCATGTGGAATCATCCTCAGGTAGTGTAGATTCAAGTTTGTTCAAATCATGACCCCCCGGGCTAGGGTGGGGCCAAAATAGCCGACCAAAGTTTTACATAGGAATATATATAGGAAAAATCTTTTAAAAATCTTCTTCTCAAGAACCACTGGAATTGGAAAAATGAAACTCAGGTGGAATCATCCTCAGGTAGTGTAGATTCAAGTTTGTTCAAATCATGACCCTGGGGCTAGGGTGGGGCCAAAATGGAAGATCAAAGTTACATAGAAATGCATAGATCAAATCTTTTAACATCTTCTTCTTCTTAAGAACCACTGGAATTGGAAAAATGAAACTCATGTGGAATCATCCTCAGGTAGTGTGGATTCAAGTTTGTTCAAATCGTGACCCCTGGGGCTAGGGTGGGGCCGAAATGGCCGACCAAAGTTTTACATAGGAATATATAGGAAAAATCTTTTAAAAATCTTCTTCTTAAGAATCATTGAGAAAGGAAATATGAAACTTATTAAATGAAATTATCCCCAGGTAGTGTAGATTCAAGTTTCTTCAAATCATGACCCCTGGGGCTAGGGTGGGGCCAAAATGGTTGACCAAAGTTTTACAAAGGAATATATAGAAAAATTCTTTAAAAATCTTCTTCTCAAGAACCACTATGCCAGAAAAGATGAAACTCATGTGGAATCATCCTCAGGTAGTGTAGATTCAAGTTTGTTTAAATCATGACCCATGTGGCTAGGTTGGGCCAAAATGGCCGACCAAAGTTTTACATAGGAATATATAGGAAAAACTTTAAAAATCTTCTTCTCAAGAACCTTTGGGCCAGGAAAGACGAAACTTATGTGGAATCATCCTCAGTTAGTTAAGATTCAAGCTTGTTCAAATCATGACCTCTGGGGATAGTTTTGGGCCCAAAATGGCTGACCAAAGTTGTACATAAGGATATATAGGGAAACCTTTTAAAATCTTCTTTTCAAGTACTTTAAAAGCAATAATTAGGGATATTTTTCTATTTATATGGAATCATCCTCAGGTAGTGTAGATTCTACATTGTTCAAATTCAAGCCCTCCCCCCCCCCCCCAGTAAACTTTCAGTTTTGATCTGATATGTGCTTTTTCCTAGTAGATGTGCTCAGGTGAGCGATGTGGCCCTTGGGCCTCTTGTTTACTTTACTTTAAATTAAGACAGGTTGTTTAAGGCCGTATATTTGATGACTGTAGGAAAATGTTATGTTTACTTATTTGTGATTTTAATTTATGGTTTTATTATTTTCTAAAAATAGCTTTATTAAGCCAAAGAATAAGACAAGTCATTGACAATACATATATGTAAATTATTTTGAGCTGATCACATTTAGTACATAAAATAATGGAAGAAAAGATGAAAATATTACAGAAAATGTCATAGCAGTAAGGTTGTTTTTTTCGTGTGCTTTTTATATGGTCAGTGTTGCTTTTACTACAATATTAGATGTACAATATTTTTCTTACTGGAAGAGTTATCAACCTTTAAATAGTGTTCTACATACTAAAGTTACCACAGAGTTTATCTCTTGTAGTGAAAACCATTTTCAGTGAGAAAACAATTAAAAAAGCACTCTTCTCTCAGTTTTATGACACAAAATAGTGCTAAAGGAATGACAGTTTTATCAAAGTATTAAACATGACACCTATTACCTCAAATTCAGTAAGAGTTATCTTTCCCTGGGCCAGTGGCAATATCCAATGATCAAAGAAGAGGGATAGATTGAGATGGATGTAAAATGTGTGAATGCTGATTTATTACTTCTAAAACCTTGTGATATTGTTTGATTTTTTGTAGAAAACTTGGTTAGTTACTTAAAACTTGTATAAATATTTAGGTCATTTATAAGTGTGCAAGCTTTATTGGTATATGAATTCCAGAGAATTTCTTTCTGTATATAATGTGAAAAAAAAATCCCAGCCAAGCTTTGCCATCACCGTACATGTATATCTTTGTGTTCTTCATATTTTGTTTGACCGACTGTCAATTTTGTACTAAAAATAAGTGAACTTAATTGTAGTTTTTGTGATGTTTTTTTTAAATCACGATTTTGACAGTACTGTGACAGAGGTTATATTTATTGCAATTAGCTCTCTCCCACTTTCCATGACCATTAAAAATATTTGTTTCTTAAAGTCAACTATTCTATAACAAATTTGTGTTTAGTTTTTCCTGAAAAATGTGTCAGTTTGTGCCTTTGTTTATAATGTACAACAGTCATGTTATGATATTATTGAAACTAAACGTCAATAAAATTATAAGGTATGAGTTTTCAGTACTAGTGTTTGTTTGATAAAGCACAATTATAGTAAATTTCTTAGAATCTTTATCATTGTTTATGTATCTGCATTATTTAATAGTTACTGTTATGTATTTCCATTTTGACAATATCATTCAGTTATAATATATTTTCTCGTTTATTATGTGTATTGTGTTTATCCTGGCAGTGCATGTAATGCAGGTGTTCATTGAAGACAATGTATTTAGAAAATTAGTTATTTATTACAGCAATTAATCCATAACTGATAATTTTTTAGCCACTTGAAGATGTGCTTTCCTCAAAACAAATGAATGTAGACTTGTTGTTGACATATGAGTGTGGTTGGACTACCTAAATAACTTAAACATAAGTCAAAGTAAATGTAGTGTTGGTGCTGTAGATGTAGAATATGATTTGTTGTAGAACTTTATCCATTTTTATTGTGTTCAACATCATTTTAATTGTGCTGCAATCCAGACCTCTGTAGATTAATTTCCCTTTAATGGGTTGTTTTCAGCAGTAAAACAATCTGCAATCCTTATTCAAATCGGTAGACATTTTCAGAAATCCATCCTCTTTTATTTTTAATTTTGAATTTTTTTCAAGATCTTGATATAATTTCTAGGTTGTTTTTATAGATTTATATTTGTATCACTTTAAATACTATTGTACATTTATTTGTAGTTTGTAAAATCAAAAAACCAACAAGTTGAAATCCTATTAAACTGGATATCTTTCTACAAATATTGCTTGTTCTACATATTGGTCTGATTTCTATGGACTTAATTTTTTTTTTATATAATTGTTTTAAATGTTGATATGAATACAGTAAGCATTATAATATATAAAACTTTCCAATAGTAGCACGAGGGGTACTAAAAAATCTATATTGCTAACTTTTTAAATATGATTTGTGTATAATTTTATATTACCAATTGTATATTTGCACCACTTTCTATTTTCAAAGTATGGCTTTCTTAGAAAAAAAAGTATTCAGTGTAGTTAAAAATTTTTTAAAAAATCTTTTCACATATATACATTGAAAAAATTCAAGATTAATGGGTTTCAGTTTGATTTACTGGAGTAGTTAAAGGTTTTCAGATTATCTGGAGATTGAAAAACGAAAAGGTATTCTGCATTTTAAAAATATTAACTACATATGTAATGTGACTATTTTTGTAGAATTTAAAGAAGCAAATACATTATTTAATTATTCTTTAGCAATAAATGTCAAATTTGAAGAAAAAAAGCAATTAAATAAACGTCCAATTTTCTTTTAGTACCCTTTTGCATGTAAATTTAGACCAGTGGAGCTAGTCTTTTCAGAGACTCCTGGTGTTTTAGTAGTAATTGTCAATTTGATGATGATGAAAATGAATTCAAATATTTTTCACGAGTTGTGTGATGGGTTGCAAAATTTTGTGTTTCAATTTTCAGATGTTTATTATATTATCAAAATTCTATTAGAAAATTACATTGGGTTGTAATAAGTTATACTGTTTTGCTTTCCTCTGTTTAATATTACCTTATAATTCAATCATGTTCC